CGCTCCGCAGCCCTCGACGTGGAGTTCACGGGCTTACATTCGGCTCACGAGCCCAGGTAAAGCCGCCGGACGCGCGGCGTGGGGGAGGGGGCGCGTCGCCAGCCTCCCCCCAACTCCGGTGTTGCCCGCAGCCTGTTCGACTCCCCCGCCGAGCGGTACCTGAGGGCCCGGCAGAGCGTCCGGCGCTTCGCCGCCGCCCAGCTCGGTGAGTGCCGTTCGGGCAGGGAAAGCCGCCGCCCGGCGTCCTGGCGGTAACCGGGCTGGTGCCAGCTGGTGGGCCCTGCGGGTAGCCCGAGAGCAAGTCCCTCCTTACAGAGACGTTTGTCTGCTGTGGTAGGGGTTCGCTCCCCGGTCTTTAATACTATCGACTTTTAAACATTTTAAATGACGCAAAGTCAGATGGGCAGTACGCTTTTTACTGGCCTGAAATTGTTCATATGTAAAGATTACAGGTACAAATACGGGGCTTTTAAAGCAGAGGATGCAAGCAAGAAGTAGGGTGCAGCAGCTCCTGTTCCAAGGCTGTGTCATCTGGTGGAGTGCGTGAGCAAGGGGACTGCTGCAGGAAAACGAAGGCTAATATTCTTGATATTCCTAAAATAATTTAAAAACCCCGAAGAATGGCCTGTGATGGTAGAGGGCCTTTGACAATTAAGGACCAGGTAGAGGTGAAGAAACCAGCTCCAAAATCTTTAAAACACTGTTCAAAGCCTTAGGCTGTGTAAGATCTTCTGTGCTTTTTAGGGATTAGTAGAGAAAAAAAACCACAAAACCAAAAACAACTAAGGAGTAAGAACCATGCTACAGTCCTCTGTGCTGCCTGGATCATTGCAGATGGGTTTGTAGTGTGGTTGGACCCACGGACCTATGTCTGCTCAGCTGGAGGTTTTTGTCACCAACTCGCCTCTTCTCACCCACTGCTGAATCTGTTTGCTGTTCCATCAGACTTGACCGCTTTTCCCAGTCAGCACTAAAAGCTCGTCCATGTTCAGCTCTCAGGGAGCTGGGGAGTGGCCTGGTGGTTGCTGTTAAGATTTGTACCGTGGCATTAGTGAATGGCAAATACACACTCCATCAGTGGGTCACATCCCTTATCTAATTTTCACAGTATCTGTAAACATCCAGCTAAACATTGCCATTTCAACAGAGGTTTCCCTCTCTTGCAGGGCTGGCAATATTCTCGAATGAAAATTCAAACAAGTAAGTAAAAAAGCCATTTTTTGTTACAATGAAGACAGTGCAGTTGAGATTTTTATGCAGAATTCTCTTGGGAGGAGTTATTTCCTGTAGTGTTATTCTAGAGAGATTTTTCTTTTCATTGTAGGTATGTGGTGCACTCGTACAACTT